TTTACTACACTTTTTACTACAAGAGTGGCTTTCTGCAATTTCTACTAATGTCAAAGTAAAGCAAAAACGACCACCAATGCCCAGGACAGCTCATAAACCATAAACAAGTCCCACTGCACTTAAATATCCAGTTCCGCTGCTGGAGCTCCTCAGCAATAGCAGTGCTTTAGCTTCCTCTTCCTTCCTAAACCCATTATTGGAGAAGGGAAAAAATAAGGGGAAACTAATGAGAATGTTTCAGGAATATCCCTTCTCTGTGGTTCAAATTTCTTATTTTAAAATGGGGAAAATAATAGTGCCTACCTTTTCAAAGGGGTATTGTAAGGATTAAGTAAATTCACGTATATAAAGTATTTAAGAGTGCTTACCACATGGTAAGTGCCCTGTAAATATTCGGTATCCATATTACTGCCCAGGAAATCTCAACATCTTATTTCAACTACAACCTATATCTCAGCTTGCTTAGTCTCTCCTGAACACCAACTCTCCAGCTGCTTAAAAACAAAACAAAACAAAAAACTGGCGGTGCCTGGATGGCTCAGTGGGTTAAGCCTTGGACTCTTGATCTGAGCTCAGGTCTTGATCTCAGGGTAGTGACTTCAAGCTCCATGCTGGATGTGAAGCCTACTTAAAAACAAACAAACAAACAAACAAAAACAACAAAACACCACCATCTCCAACTGGACATTCTCAATGAAGATCACTGCTACATTAACTCAGTCATCCGAGGCAGACCTAAGACTCACTGTTAGATATCCCTCCCTCTCCCCCTCAATATCTAACCTTCCACCAAGCCCTGCAGACTCTGTTTCCTCAATGCTTGTTGAAATCATCCCCTTCTCTCTAGCCACACTTCCCCACCCCCTCTTAAACAGGCCTTCCTACGTCTTCCAGGATTACTTGAGTAGTTCTGACTGGACTTTGGGACCCGAACTTCAGCCCACTCTGACTGATCCATCCACAATTGCTACAGGGATATATTAAAGCAAAAATCTCATAGTGGGTATACATGTTTACTGTGAGTTTTTTTTTTTTTAACTTTTTTTATACTTTCAAAATGAAATTTATAAATTTCAATTTAAAAATGATAACAGAAACTAGGGGCACCTGGATGGCTCAGTTGGTTAAGCGTCCAACTTCGGCTCAGGTCATAATCTCACAGTTTGTGAGTTCAAGCCCCAAGTCAGGCTCTGCGCTGACAGCTCAGATCCTGAAGCCTGTTTCAGATTCTGTGTCCCCTCTCTCTCTGCACCTCCCCCTCTCACACTCTGCCTCTCTCTCGAAAATAAATAAATCTTTTAAAAAGGTTTTTAATTTAAGAAAAAGGAAGAAACTAAAGTGTTCCCCTCATCAGTGGTGGTTGCAGGAGGGAAGAAGAATAGGAGAAAAGGACTGCAAAAGAGTACAAAGAAATTTTGGAGAGTGACAGATATGTCCATTATTTTTATTGTGGTGATAGCTTTTCAAGTGTATACCTATGCTAACAGTTATCAAATTATATAATTAAGTAAGTGCAAGTTACTGCATGTCGATTATTCTTTAACTTTAAAAATTTTAATGAAAGGGGCACCTGGGTGGCTTAGTCGGTTAAGCGTCCGACTTTCGCTTAGGTCATGATCTCGCGGTTCGTGGGTTCGAGCCCCACGTCGGGCTCTGTGCTGACTGCCAGCTCAGAGCCTGGAGCCTGTTTCGGACTCTGTGTCTCCCTCTCTCTCTGACCCTCCCCTGCTCACGCTGTCTCTCTCTCTCCTAGAAATAAATAAAAAACATTTAAAAAAAAATAAATAAAAATTTTAATGATAAAAGAATATCAAAAAATCTTAGAAAACTAACTCCTTTGCCCTAAAAACAGAAGCTTTAACAGAGATGCTATCTACAGCATGATAGATGACTCCAAGCAATATGTATACATCACCTTCATGGACTACCTGCCTATCTCCAACACAAGTACCAAAAGGTCAGGGAGTGCATAACCTTGGCCTAAAACCCAGTCTCCAGGACTAGGGACAAACTGGGGAGCACAGGAAACCAGCCTAGACACTGAGCTGCTATCAGTTCATGTTAGTTTGCACACCATTCAAAGCTCCTCAATGTGCCTTTGCAGCTTACCCATGATGCATCTCCTCAACCCATTTGAAGGACTCAGGGTCTCAGCCAATAGAAGTACCTCAGTGGTTATACTATAGGCAGGAGAGCAACTTTAAAATGAAGATTGGGTTGGGGCTCCTGGGTGGCTCAGTGGGCGTTCGACTTCGGCTCAGGTCATGATCTCACGGTTCATGGGTTCAAGTCCCGCATCGGGCTCTGTGCTGACAGCTAGAAACTGTGCTGAAACACAGTTTCAGATTCTGTGTTTCCCTCTCTCTCTGACCCTCCCCTACTCACGCTGTCTCTCTCTCTCTCAGAAATAAATAAAATATTTTTTAAAATAATAATAATTTTTAAAAATAAATAAATAATATGAAGATTGGGTTGTTTTCAACTTGAAAATTATTTGTAGAATAAAATTCAAAAATAAAAATTATTTGAGGGGTGACTGGGTGGCTCAGTCAGTTAAGCGTCCGACTTCAGCTCAGGTCATGATCTTGTGGTTCGTGGGTTGGAGCCCCCTGTCAGGCTCTGTGCTGACAGCTAGCTCAGAGCCTGGAGCCTGTTTCAGATTCTGTGTCTCCGTCTCTGACCCTCCCCTGTTCGCTCTGTCTCTCTCTCTCAGAAATAAATAAAAACATTAAAAAATTATTATTATTATTATTTGGAAAAAAAAAACTTTTAAAAAGAAATTTTTCCTTGCTTAAAACATTTCAAAGGTTCCCCTCTGCCTCAGGAGAAACCTCTAATCCTAACCATAAGACACATGGCCCTGACTCCTGCCATTTCCCCGTAAGTGCCCACATCAAGCCAAAGATTCATATACAGTTCTTGGTTGTCTGGCATTAGTACCACAAGCTAACACTTCTCTTCTATGCCCTCTCTCTCCTTCTCTAATGCTCTCATTTAGTTCAGGCATCACTCCCTGATGGATGCTTATCCTCAAGCTGGTTTAGGTATGTCTCTACCCTGCTCCTATAGCACATGGTACAAACGTCTATTACAGCATTTCAAGTGTTGTATTAGTAGTTCTCTTTTCTGTCTCTATTAGACTATAAACTTCAGAGAAAGGTCTATGCTTTTCATCCTCAGTCCCTTGGATAGTTCCTAGAATGTAGTAACTCTCAAAACAGGTGCTGAACTAAAAGGAAGAGAATAAAACATTTAAATGTTATCTGTATCACCCGATTTTCTGATCAAGCCTATCAAACTTATTATTAAGAAAATCTGAGGTTCAGAGAAGTTAGGGGACTTGCTCAAGGTAAGTAATAGAGCTACGCTTTCAACCAAAGCTCTTCAGACTCTTAGACGGGTAGATTTCCTGTATTTGTGAATTCCTCATCACCCAACCCAAAGGCCTCTTCAGAATAGGTAATCAATAAATACCTGCTGCTTTCATGTTTACTGTCACTTTCATCTAGAATTAGGGGAGATTCCATTGCTTTGTCACACAGCACATTATATCATATAATTAGAAACCTTTAAAGAATCATAGTATAAAGTAAAAGTGACTTTCCTTACCTAAACTTGCTTTTTATCTAAAAAGATGAGCAGAAAGGAATAAATATAAAAAAATCTGACTAATAGAGGGCAGTTAGGTAGTTTATATGGATTCTACCACCTAAGAATAAATAACCCTGCAATGGTCCACACACTCAGGGGCAAGAATATTTAATATATCGAGCAGGCCCTAAATTCCAAGATAAATCAAGGTGTTCATTAAGGTATACAGCGCAATAAACTTTTCATCTTTTTCCTGATATATCCACCTTTAAAATGTAATAATTTACGACATCCTAGTTGCCATTTCTCCAGCAGTTCTCAGATCTGAATCAAGTTCTGCCCTGGCATCAACAATTACTTCACCAAGTGAATCTTTCTGTAGGTTATATGAGCTATTCTTCAAACAATTATTGAGGAGGAATGGACAGTACTGCACTTTGCTAGGCTGACAAGACATACAAGAAGTTAAATTGCAGTTCTTATAAACCATATATAAAAAGATTAGAAACATAAGCGTAAATTAACTCACAAGAAAGCCAGGGGCAGGAAAGGGCAGTGTCTGCTATGAAAAACAATGTCCTTGACCCAATTTTTGAAAGTCTGGCTAAAATGATAAACCCTCCCATCCCTCAATGATTAGTAACCAGGCTCTATATTATCCAAAATTCTTCTGCTGCCACTTTCCTTCTCCTTGAATTCCAAATGTCAGAGTATGCTAGAAGGATAGGGATGAATCACAAGGGCAGTAGTTTCCCACAAGGGTGCTAAGAAGTCTAGTAATTCCTTCCTCACTTCATTAATTCCTTACACATTTATTGAACACCTTTGGTGTGCCATACACTGTGCTCGACAGAGCATGAGCCCGTTTTTCAGCCAGCTTTCAATCCCATAACCTGTAACAGTATTCCGCTTAACTGTACAGTTAAGAATCGTCTTCCTGATGTCGGAAACAAACCCAGAGAATCTCGGAAACCGAAGGAACTGCAGATTAACGTCCTCATTTTTCCCATCGGGACACTGGGGCCCGAAAGTGACTTGTCCAAGGTCACATTGGATATCAGTGACAGACAGAAACAGGAACCCAGGCCTCTCGAAAACTCCAATCAGTGCCCCCACCCACGTGCTGCCTCTCCCTGAGGGAAAGCGGTCCCAAGAGGTAGCTGCGGAAAAGCAAACTTCGCCGAATTGAGGTCCGATGTCACTCTCTCCCTCCTCTAAAGACAGGGATGCCACCACCAAACCGAGGGTGGGGGAAAGTGGGAAGCTGCCTCAATTTCCCCGCAGAGAGGCGACCGCGCAGTCCCGCTGCCACACAGGCTCCCCTCCTGCACTCTCCTCCGGTTTGTCCCGCCCTGCCTCCTCCGACTGCAACCCTGGGGGCGACCGCAGAAAATTACTCCTTCACTCACAAGGACTCGCACCAGCAACGCCATGTTCCTCTGCAACCACTTCCGGGTAAAGAGTGGCCTTCCGGAGTCCCCGCTGCCCCCACCCCTTGTCTAAGTTGTCCTTTCGCGGGCGGGTGCCCGGCAACGGCAGCGCAGGCGCCTGCGCCTGCGCTCAAGAGCGCGCGCTTTCCCCACCGTGGCGGGAGCGTCAGGTTCTCCCCAGTCTTCCCCCTACGACACGTCACAGAGACTCGAGTCTTCTCCGCTGCACCTGTCCTCCTTGAGGAATAGCCTTGGGCTTTTCGTAACTCTCTCCTTAGCCACCTCCGTCCCCCTCACCCAGCCTCACTCCTCAGCGCCCCGCTGTCAGAATTCTTCCTTCGCGCTGTCAGAATTCTTCCTTCCTAGACTTCCCCCACGGGAATCCCTCCCCTTTTCCCGGGGGTGGTGGGATTGGGGAAAAAAACAGGACTTTGAGGGATCCCAGCATTGAAGAGCTCCCCCCCAAAAAGCTTGAGAAGTTGTAAGAGGAACACGGGAGAGTGTTCAGCTGAGTCCTGAAAGTCAAGAGGGCAGTCACCTGCTGAACCGAGGCCTGAAGAGAAGGGAACTTCTGGGGTTTCTGACTGGTTGGTTGTTTAATGTGAACATCTTTGAGTATTGATAGGAAATGATTGTGAAGATGAAGACAGAAGAATCAAGGGTACAAAGAGTTTCTTGAGGAGGTGGGAGAGAGTGGCCTTGGCTGGTGGACCTCATCCACTGTATCCCAAGAGCAGTAGAGGAGGGGAGCTGTAGGTAGGTGCTCCTGGGGTTGACTGGGAGCAGAGGGGCAGAATGCTAAAAGACTTCCTTTTCATTCAGTCAATAAAGATCCAGTGAATGTTCACCTTGTGCTGGTCACAAGACAGGTGTGGATAATGGCTTGATGGAGCTCTAGACTGGTGGAGGAAGCATACAAAAATATAGTAAACCAATGAAAAAATAAATAATTAAAAAGTGTGGGAAGTGCTTTGAAGGCAACAAAGAGCTAAACTTGAGAATAACATGGGAAACTACACTTTAGATAGTATGGCCAGGTAAGGCCTCTCTGAGGAGGTGACATGTAAGTTGAGACCCAAAGGATGAGAAAGAGCTAGCCATGGGAAGTGACTTTGAATATGCTATTTTATCACAGCAAATATTGGAGGATGAGAGAGGGATGGAAGATTCCAGGGCAAGAGTCCTGAAATAAGAAAGAACAAGGGTTTATTTCAAGAAGCCAAAGAATTGGGTATTTACCTCAAAAGGATATATGCACCCCTATGTTTATTGCAATATTATTTACAATAGTCAAGATATGAAAGCAACCTAAGTGTCTATCCACAGATTAATAGAGAAGATGTAGGGTATATACAATGAAATGTTACTCAGCCATGAAAAAGACTGAGATCTTGCCATTTTCGACAACATGAACAAAGCTAGGGGGTATTACGTTAAGTGAAATAGTATGACAGAGGAAAACAAATACCATATGATTTCACTTATATGTGGAATCTAAAAACAAAACAAATAAGAAAGCAGAAACAGACTCACAAATACAGAAAACTGGTAGCTGTGGGGGGCAAGGAGTTGGGGGATGGGTAAAATAGATGAAGGGAATTAAGAGGTAAAAAAAAAAAAAAAATCCCAGTTATGGGGCACCTAGATGGCTCAGCTGAGTGTCTGACTTCAGCTGAGGTCATGTACAAGCCCAGTATTGGGCTCACAGCTGTCAGGCTTGCAGCTGTCAGCACAGAGCCTGCTTCAGATCCTCTGTTCCCCCTTTTTCTCTGCCCCTCCCCCCTCCTCCTCTCTCTCCCTGTCTCTCTCTCTCTCTCTCTCTCTCTCTCTCAAAAATAAACATTTTTTAAAAATCCCAGGTATGAAATAAGTTACAGAAATGAAAAGTGCAGCATATTAATCAATAACATTGTGGGGCGCCTGGGTGACTCAGTCAGTTAAGCATCCAACTTTTGATTCTGGCTCAGTTCATAATCTCATGGTTAGTGAGTTCAAGCCCCACATCAGACTCTGCACTGACAGCACAGAGCCTGCTTAGGAGTCTCTCTCTGCCTCTCTCTCTCTCTCTCTCTCTCCAAATAGGTAAATAAACTTGAAAAAAAAATATTGTAATAACTTTGTATGATGACAAATGGTGACTACACTTATCATTGTAAGCATTGAGTAATATGTAAAGTTGTCATATCACTATGTTGTACACTGGAAACTAATATAACAGCATATGTCAACTATACTTAAATTTTTTAAAGGGGGGGTTGTCTTGGTGGCTCAGTCAGTTGAGCGTCTGACTCCTGATTTTGGCTCAAGTCATGATCTCACAGTTAGTGAGTTTGAGCCCCACATCAGGCTCTGCACCAACAGCAAGATCCTGCTTGTGATTCTCTCTCCCTCTCCCTCTCTCCCTCTCTCTCTTTCTCCCTCTGCCCCTCTCTGCTGCTCAGGCATGCTCGCTCGCTCTCTTGCTCCTTCTCAAATAAAAAAAATGTAAATGTTTTTAAAAAGAATCCAAAGAAGGAGCTCCTGTGTGGCTCAGTCAGTTGAGCGTTCCATTCTTTTTTTTTTTTTTTATGTTTTATTTATTTCTAGGAGAGAGAGACAGAGACAGTGTGAGCAGGAGAGGGTCAGAGAGAGAAGGAGTCACAGACTCCGAAACAGGCTCCAGGCTCTGAGCTGGCAGTCAGCACAGAGCCTGACGCGGGGCTCGAACTCATGAACTGTGAGATCATGACCTAAGCGAAAGTCGGACGCTTAACCGACTAAGCCACCCAGGCGCCCCGAGCGTTCCACTCTTGGTTTAAGCTCAGGTCATGATCCCAGGGATGTGGGATTGATCCCCATGTTGGGCTCCAAACTGGGTGTGGAACCTGCTTAAGATTCTCTCTCTCTCTCTCTCTCTCTCTCTCTTTCTCTCTCTCAAAATAAATAAATAAACATTAAAAAAAGAATCCAAAGAAAACTAGTGTGGCATTAAAATTAATCTGAATTAATTTAAAGAGATAATTAAGATAGGATTAGAGAGGGGCAAATGTGAAAATACAAGATCTATTAGTAGACTAATAGTCTCCAAATACCAATAATTGTTATATATAAATTTAGTTTTGTTTTTATATAGAATATGAAGATTTCCCTCATCAATCTTTCACATGAAGGCTATTATAAGCCAAAATAAAGATGCTTCCTGCATTCAAATCGGTAACATATGTGTAGCATTACAATGGTGTAATGCTCCTGCATTAGGACATTAGGACAAGTGGCATCACATATTAAAAAGAGAGAAGAGAGGGGCACATGGATGGCTCAGTTGAGCATCTGACTCTTGGGTTTCATTTAAGTCATGATCTCATGGTATCAGGAGCTCAAGCCCTGTTTCAGGCTCTGTACTCATAGCAGGGAGCCTGCTTGAGATTTTCCCCCATCTCTGCCCTTCTCCTGCTGGCACTCTCTGTCTCTCTCAAAATAAATAAATAAACATAAAAAACTTTAAGAGGAGATAAGAGAAACATCCTTGTTAATCAGATTCAAGAGCAAATGTGATACAAAAATTGTGCAGATAAGCCAAGTAAACAATTCACACAAGAGATGATGGGCTGAGATGTTGGGCACAAGAGAAAAAATTGGAAAGATTGATATTTAATTTCCTTTCTGATGCTTTCTATTTTCTCTGCAAACTAGGGGGCAGAGATTTTCTACTCAGGGGAATATAGATGGTATGACACTATAGATGAGTGGAGAAAGTTTAAAGCTTAATAAAGAACAAAAGAGGGGAGCCAGGGTGGCTCAGTGGGTTGAGTGTCCAACTCTTGATTTGGGCTCAGGTCATGATCTCAGCATTTGTGGGATCAAGCCCCGCATAGGGCTCTGAGCTGACAGTGTGGAGCCTGCTTTGAATTCTCTCTCCTCTCTCTCTCTGCCTCTCCCCTGAATTCCCACTCTCTCTCTCCCTCTCAAATAAGAAAACATTAAAAAAGAAGAAGAACAAAAGAAAAAGGGACCAGTGAAACATGGAGGGTCTAGTCGAAGTTGGTAACTCTTCATTTTTTAAATTTTGTTAATTTTAAATGAAAAGGATATATATAATTACATTCTTTTTTCTAAAAATTAGCATGTTACAGATAAAGCTAAAGTTCCTTACATGACCACCTTGCATCCCAATCCTTTCCACCCTCTCTAAAATTTAATTTCCTTCCGGATATTTTTGTTAGTTTATTTTTATTTATTCTGAGCAAGCAGGGGAGGGGCAGAGAGAAAGGGAGACCGAATCCTACGCAGGTTCTGTGCTGCCAGAGCAGAGCCTGATGCAGGGCTCTGAATCACAAACCATGATCTGAGCCCAAGTCAACAGCCAGATGCTCAACCAACTGAGCTATCCAGGCACCTCACCTTCCAGATATTTTTTAATGCTTTCAAATGTATTTGCTTAGAAAATACATCATTCTGATTGGTGTGGATTTTATTTCTTCCCTTTTTTTTAAAACTTAATTGACAGCATTCTTATGTTTTATTTTGCTGTTTCCTTTTTTTCACTCAACAGTTGTTTTTTTATTCTACATATGTTGCTCTATATAGATCTAGGTCATTTTCTTTTATTAGCTGTTCTATCATATGATACAGTTGACAGATATTTGTTTCCTTTATGTTGTTGTTCTTATGACCAGTGTTTTTGTGAGTATTCTTGTACATTTAAGAGCAAAAAAATTAATAGCACCAATCTACCTCTTTATGACTTTTCTTCAAAATCATCTGCCAGCCTGGAATTAGCAGAAGAGAGAGGTGATAGTTGGATTCAATAAATGATTAAGTTTTTTTCCAGGTCATGGAATGGATATCATCAGCACAAAGAAAGTAATGATATTGTCAAAAAAAAGAGGTTGAAGTAATAGGCCAGGAAATCTGTATAGTGAAGGATTTAAAGAGACAAAGAAGCTGTTAGAAAAGAAGAAAGAACAAGTGACTAAAAGAAAAACAATGAGAAAATTCAGTGAGAGGTTAAAGAATAAGAAGTTGCAGTCAGACAGTGAGAAGATTTTATTTTATTTT